AAGTTATATATTTCCTGACATGTCTATTTTCACGTTGGATATAGTAATGTGTGTGTGTCTCAAGTTTCATATTATCACAAAGTTCAGTTTTCTAACATTCCACATTTATCCTTAATTTAAAAAAATTATTCGATATAAAATGCTTTTAATACACAGAAAAGAAGAATATTCTTGTTTGGAAAATTGTTAACATTTTAAAAATAAGATTAACGTTAAAACGAGATATGGCGTAAAGATAAATTAGTCTTTAATCAAAACGAATATAGTAAAATTAACACAATAATTTTCTCATATATAAGCAAGAATATCAATATTGTTAATTATGTATGAGAAAATGATTGTGTGATAATTTTACTGTATTCGTTCTCATTGAAGATTAATTTATCTTTGTTCATGCTATATAATCTCATTTTAACATTAATTTTATTTTTAAAATATCAAAAATAAAGACATTTTCCAAATATTCTTTTTTTCTATGTTTGATAAATATTGAATGTAGATAACAAAATGCGCGTTAGTTAGTTCAAGCGCTCTTTCAATGTTTTTTTTTAAGATTCCGACGGTATAGTTTTACACAATTTATTAAAATAACGCTCCACATTCGTTCTTAATTTCGTGGAATTTTGATATAAAATGCTCTTACACACTCGAGAAATATATACTCGACGAGTGTAGGTAACAGAATATGCGTTAGTCTAAAAGCGCTGTTTCAGTTTTTTTTTTACTTTTTTAAGATTCCAAAGGTATAGTTTTACACATTTTATTAAAATGACGGCCACGTAACGGATGAAGCGAAAAATACGCGTGCTTTCGTGAACAATTAATTGGTATTCCACGAATACCATCGTATAACGAATTTTGCGATATTTTAATTTTAATGTCGATCTGTAAATGGCGATCATAAACTTCAATATATATATCAATAACATAATATTTTGTTACTCGGCGGATTCATAATTCATATTTATGTTTGTGCCCGTATTTATGTTCGTCGACGGGATATTTCCATTATGAAGTTTGCTATCCGGGTGCAATCGAATTAATGCCGCCGTCAGCACGTGCTTCAATCGCCATCGTTATTTATCGTAAGCAGAATAACTTCCGCTCCTGTGCAACTTCCGAGCTAATAATTTTATTTGTTAAACTGACGTAAATCAACGTCGAACAGCGGAGCTAGCACCGCCGTGTAAATACCGCCTCGTTGCTAGACGAAGGGACGAAAACATTTCTGCAGCGTGCCGGCTTGTCGTTTTCGTCAATCGTGTCGTCCCTCGTTCCCTCGCATTCATTCGCGAAAAAAAAATCAAACATGATCGATATTCTACGGGATATGACGGACGACGCTAGGGCATTCCTTTTTCCCGAGAACGGCTTCCCGTATTAAAATTTGCTAATTAAATACGCGTCACATGCGACGACGGATTGAGCATGACTGATAGCGAGAGACGCTTTTGACGGCGCTTTCGACTCACAGAAATAATCAACGTCATATCCCGCAGATTTCATAGCTCGCCCCGCGTCGTTCCATTTCCCAGCCCCCTTTTTACGAGATTAAATTCCGGTCAGGGCAAGTTCCAGGCGTGGGCGACGCCGGCGACGCGACAACTCGACGCACAAGATCGTAATGTCCGAAAGGGGGAGAGAGAGAGAGAGAGATGGCATTTTTAATATAAATAAATATGTATGTTCCTCAAATATCTCAAATGCTACGCATACAACCTGTGGCATCGAATAAACCTAGTTATCGGCGATAACTATTGCGACACTATGACCTAATCTGCAACATGCTCTACGTTCTGCTACTTTCTTCCTGATTTGGATCTCAAGCTAGAAGATAGAGAACAAGAAACGGGAAACAAAGAGCACATTATAGATCAGGCTTAAATTGAATGAATTCGTGAAACACGCACGAATATGAGAGCGGAGCGTATCTAAGAATGAACTAATAGTCGCTACTCTGCTTACAGATATGAATGTCACAGATATTCCCATTTGTGAAACGTACTACCAGACACGAACATGTGTGGAGCTACATGTACGCGACAGAGGTTATGTAAGTAGTGGTTATGTTGTACGAAAGCCAACTGCTTTTGGGAATATTAGCACTGGGACGTACGAAATGAATAATCTTACTCACCAGAACCGCATAGCCATTACTCCCTCAGTGGCTGCTGCGAACATTCTAGACGGTCGCTCGCGGGAAACGATCGAGACTGATTTACGATCACACAGCCTAATTAACGCGACACGACAATTGTCCGTCACTTTGCACGGCACTACCGACGTTCATCGTACGTGTGACGCACTCGAGACGAACGAAGAACACGAAACACGACGATTATTCCGCGGATGACGATCGTGTTGCACACGACATACTCGATGCGCAATGACAAATGCGCGGCGAGCTTGACATACAACGGACTCAAAACATGCGATGGTAACTTCACGCCTATACGCAGGTGGCGGTAGTCGTGCCGCGATCGCGGACGTAGATCTGCTTGTTTTCGAAGATCTACACTAGTGAAGTAAGTTATAGTGAAACAAGTGTACTTTCTTTCACTTTAACTTTTTATTGCACTAGTTTAGAAGTTCTTCGAAAACAAACAGACTTCACACGACACACTCGAGACGAACAAAGAACGCGAAACACGGTCACTGAAATATATATATAAACTGGAACGAGCATTAGGCTTGCCTGTGCGAAATGAGAGAAAGAGAAAAAGAAAGGGAGAGAGAGCATGTTTAGCTGTTTCGAACAGGGCTCTGCCTTTGTTTACTCTTTGTTGATCTTATCGTATCTCATTTCCCTCACTCTCGGCCATTCACCAGACAAGGATGAGGCAAGAATCAGCAATCTCTCTCTCTCTCTCTCTCTCATTCTTTTACCGTGGATATTGTTTGGCAGCGTACGCCCAGTTAGCATATATTTCAGCGAACACGACGATCGTTTCTTAGCGCGACACTTGCGACGGCCATCTTTTCGTTTGACTGCCACGAACGTCCTAAATAAAATTTCCCTAGTTAGACTTAGGACAAAGCATGGCTTCTGATTGGCCTGCATCCTGTTCATCGTTGTAAGGGTGACGTGAGTGGGATTGAGAGAGAAGCTCTAGGACTGAAATGCAAAGCACGCTGCAGCTTCTCTCTCACATACTCAATCACTTCCTCCCTATAAATAACGGACTATGTACTAAAGGATTGTATACAATGGGGTGGTAGTTACGTTTTAAAGCTGCAGCACTAGTCTGCGAATCAATCCACTTCCTTCGTGTAAACTCGTGAAAGATAGAAAGTTTTATTGACGAATTCAATAAAACTTTCCATTTCTCACGAGTTTACACGAAGAAAGCTGTTGTGACTTTAAAACGTAACTACGATCGCATTGCAGACGATTTCTAACTCTGACTGGAGTATCACTGATTCTAAACGACCACTCGCGTAAGTCGATCTAAAACACGCAGACTGATTTACGATCACACATACTGATTAACACGACACGACAATCGCCTTACACGACACTCCCGACGTTTATTGTGACGCACGATGCACTCGAGATGAGCAAAGAACACGAAATACGACCATTGTTTTGTGGACAATCGTTTTGTGGATGATCGTTTTGCACACGACACACTCGCGATGCAACAGCGAATGCTCCATGAACTGCTTCTCTTTCTCTTTCAGAGTGCGATTCACTAGATGCTACAATGTAAAAGCGTCGTTTTAGGCCAATTGTGGTTTTCTTTAAGCACTTCAAAGCGTTTGCAGTATCTAACGGATCGCTCTCTAATATCTAGATCGAGGAGTTCAATAAAGTCTTATCCCCAACGCCATTCTCCGTTAAATGCACAGATGTCTATATTAAACTAGATTGCTAACAGGCTATCTAAAAGCATATAACGGCTTGTGTCCGATAGAGTTTCCGGTGCATACGAAAAAATGGCCGCTACCGCCACATATTTTCACTACGTTTAGTCATAAAATTCTTTTGTTGAAAATGAGCAGAGCAAATAACGTCCAATACCATCTATTTTTTATTGCGACATTTTTTGATGCAATAAGATGCTGGCATTTTTGGTTTTACGACAATAATTTAAATAATGACTCACATTGTCCGTTGTAAATACTCACACAAATGACACATCACACACACAACGTTACACACACAGAACCGCCGCCATTTTCTCGCATACAACCGGAAACTTTACGTGACACACGTTCAAAGCCCTTGTTAGCAATCTAATTTAATATAGACGTCTGTGGTTAAATGTTGAATTTAATTAATTCTTTGGAAATAATCCAAAGCATATTCCGGAAAATCGCAGGTCATGCTCGAATATTCGACACGATACGTCACGACCGATTCGTCGCGAACTTGACAGATTTAAAATACACGACATTAACTTAAGGTACACAATGGTGAGACGATCGCGAATACACGCGTACAGATGGCGAACAAAGCGCGTCAACGAGCAGGCGTCGTGGATGAATTAATTCGAAAGATCATAATCGATGCTCAAAGTAGCAGTTACTGAATTCGATACAGCCCGCGGTATTCGTTCCCGGGATAACACACGCTTAGGACGACGAGACTTGTTTTTACGGAGTCGGGCACCTTGTGTTTACTTAGCTCCGCCGCGTGCCGGTCGGCTACTCAGTGCGAGCGCGCCGCGAGATACTGAAGGTAACTACGCGAGTCAAAACACGACACGCCGTCGGGTCCGCCAGACGTGTCTTTGCCGGGAATGTGTTCTGTACGCAAATGAATATCCGGAGTGTTTATGTCGACGGGTCGAGCATCAACAATAGCCTTTCGAATAGGTTAACGAAAGCTCATGATCAGTGACTCTCTGTCCGTCGACGTTGTTCTCAACGTTGCGCGTATCCCTCGCCGCGTCGCTGTTGTCAGTTAACGTAAGGATACGTTTAACGTAAAGATATCGCTATGCACTTAAATTGCCGTGAAGTTCGTTGAACGTCCATTATTGCATCGCGAATACCACGCGAAGAAACGATCGTTGTGTTTCGAATCTTTGATTCGTCTCGAGTGCGTGGTGCGCACGACAATCGTCGGAAGTGTCGTTTAAAGCGACGAGCGATCGTCGTGACGCGAGAATTAGCCTCTATGACTGCAGGTTAGTCTGTGTTTTTTCGGTCGACTCCTGTCTTCGCGCGAGTGACCGTTTATCGTGGCATTCGGACATAGCGAATGCTCGCGAAAAAACGATCGCCGTGTTTCGCTTTCTTGATCTCGAATACGTAGCGCATATGATAAACGTCGGGAGCGTCGTGTAAAGCGACGGGCGATTGTCGTATCGCGATAATTAGCGCGCGTGATCGTAACTCGGCCATGTTTTTTTAGATTGAGTTGCGCGATGACCGTCCAGAATATTCGCAGCAGGGCGGGAAAATGGCCAGCATTGACTGGTAAGTAAAGGTTATTTTACACATCATACCGCGATATTAATAATTATTTCGTACGACGAAACAGCACAACTGTTGTAGAATCACGGTCTTATTGCATAGGCTGCGTCTATTTCTGGCATTTATTTCCGTGAATATTCAGATCTGTAATCGCGTTTAATAGTTTCTTTTTTTCTGAAATCCTGTGCTCCCGTGTATCAAACTGCGTGTGTCTAACAATAAACTAATGCTTATTTCTGAGACATGTACATATGTGCTTATATTATAAATTGATTTCAGTTTTCCAAGCATAATCGACGAAGCGGATCACTTGCCCGTATGAATGATCGGTCTAGTATAATCAGAGCCCGGAGAGGACACATTATATCGGTGAGTGAATTCATTTATCACATTAATACGATTATTCGCGTATTTATCTCGTACGTGATGACTTGACAATGTCGTTGCATCGTCGCAAGCTCTGTGTTGATATGCGTTCTATATAATCCTCTATGTTATTATCGGAGATGCCGAAACGCATTTCGCCCATATATATATATATATATATATATATATATATATATATATA